CCCGGGCGTCCCAATCAAGAGACGCTTCTTAGGCGAAAACACGGTCCGACCGTGAGGGCTGAACCATTCGGTTAGATCGCGCTTGACGAACTGCCACACTCGCTCCACCTCACTGTTCACACAGCAGTCACAAATATGTTCACTCCCCGCCCACGTGTACGGCCATGCCTTGTCCGAGGTGAGCACCATCAACCTGAGACGCTCTGCACCGGATTGCTCCACACCGTCATCCTTTTCGATAGTTCTTTCAGCTTTCCTGTACGTCCATGGCTGCGGTGGTTCCCCCTCCTTCACATCCATTCCCGTCCCCTCGCCGCCAGGAACTTCCACGACATGATGCCACCTCGCATTGTACACAGAGTCGTAGAACCCCTCCAGATTCTCCGGTGCGCTCGACGTCGTTGGGTTCCTCGTCTCCTCAAGGGCTGCATTCAATGAGATTTTAGTGTCGTCGCGAACACATGCTTTTACCTCCTCAGCAGCTAATGACCACGCTGCTAGACTGTTGACACCATTCTCGCTAAGCCTGCGTACAGCTTCTTCCAAATCCATTTCCTCCCTTACAGTCCTCTCCATACTCAAATAAGCATCGGTTGCCTGTATTTCGCCCAATATTCCCGCATCGCGGATATAACTCGTGGGATTCTTGAAAAAACCCTTCAGTAAGACATTCCGATTGGCGCGCAAAATGCCTTTGCCTTCCAGTTCCATCGTAAGAAAATCATTCAGCTTTATGTCCATGACGCGAGCCCTTCCTTTAAATAGCACAATTCTGATCGTAGTAGTTGGGGTAAATCGTTCTTGGTGTTCCCGCCTTGCCCTTTCTTCTGCCTCACGCCTTTCTTCCCTCAGTAACTGCGTGAGTACACCGTTTAGTTTTCTCCTTGCAAGTGGAGTGACCGTATCCTTTCCTTCATAGTCCCTCCATTGCTCAAGAAAGTCCACACCATCCTCGCAAAGCCTGCGTACAACTTCTTCCAAACCCATTTCCTCCCGTACAGTCATCTCCATCCTCGCATAAGCACCTGTTGCCTGTATTTCGCCCAATATTCCCGCATCGTGGATATACTTCGTGGGGTCCTTGAAAAACTCCTCCAGCAAGACATTCCGATTGGCGCGCAAAATGCCTTTGCCTTCCAGCTCCATCGTAAGAAAATCATTCAGCTTTATGTCCATGAAGCGAACTCTTCCTTTAAATAGCACATCTTCGATCGTAGTAGTTGGGGTAAATCGTTCTTGGTGTTCCCGCCTTGCCCTTTCTACTTCCTCCCACCATTCTTCTCTCAGTAATTGAGTGAGTACTCTGTTTAGTTTTTCATTTGCAAGTGGAGCGACCGTATCCTTTCCTTCATAGTCCCTCCATTGTTCGAGAGAGACAACACCCTCGTGATGAAGTTTATAAATAGCCTCCAATTGTATTTTCCTTTCCTCCAGCTCTTGGTACTCTGTTAAGTTAAAAATTCTTCTAAGAAGCTGCTGGTCTTGTACGTAAGCATCCGGCTCCTGAACAAACACCTGCATCGTCACATTGGAGTCTTCATCAGCAGCCGCCCTGCCGCCAACATAATTCCGAAGGAAATCATTCAGCTTCATGTTGGTGCTGAGAGTTATTCCCTCCAGCAGGATGTCCTTTACGCTGCTTCTCATGGTCCACTGTGGTTGCCGCGCTTCCTCCACTCTTATGTGTGTCGCAGCGGGTTGATCCGTGACATCCTCAGACTCCGGCCTCGCTCTCCTCTGACGAACTCCCTGCGGCACGGCAGACGCTCGACTCCTGGCATTGCCACCTTGCACTCTATTGCGCTTTGGAGGCATTGTTTCTCCTTGTTTTCTGGGTTGGATTGAGTTAAAGCTGAATACTGACCAACAAACAAGAGAGGAATAAGAAAGAAGATAATCAAAGGAATGACTCGCAGCCAAAACAAGAGACTCATCCACACAGTATTCGATAAAAACCACATGCACAGGTACCACCGCAACGACGGCGAGTGGATGTCATTCACCCAGCACAGTGTTGGTGAGAGCAAACAACAGCAACGTGGTGCGCACGGAGGGTTCGTCCACGCATACCGCTCGCCACGGTCCAGCACCCCTGTGGCACCGCCGTCACCGCACACACTCTGCAGGAGGACGTGGACACATAAGCCCTGACAGAAGCACAAATCATACACACCACAACAGCGATGCATCATGGTAATCCCCCACACAACAGAAAAGAGTGCAACTTGCATGCTTTATGGAAAATATCTGCGGTGTGCATGGCAAAAGAGTGCCGTGACGCTGCCTTTCATACTGCATTCGCCATTCACGTATCACTGAGAAGCACGCAGCCACCACACCTCCGTTCCGCTCCCCGTGCTGCTCGTGTCGCTCCACTGGAGGAAGTTGTCACCGCACATCCCCATCCCCGTGCATTGCGGAATACAAACCAACCACACGGCATGAGTGCGGCGCCACCCCGCCAATAAATCCCAGGAAATTCCCCGCTGCCTCGTGTGGCACGGAGGGCTGTATCATTATGCCTGCGAAAGGCTTTTTTCCAAACAAGAACGCGGCCCCACCACACGCCCGTAAGAACGTTTGGTCCATCGCACACAAAGGGTGGAGCGGGAGAACAGCAGGAAAGACAACACCGGCAGCCATGAGCAGCACGCACACGCCAACACACCGCTGCCCCGCATATCACCAAAAATAAAAATAGCAAAGAAACATGTCACATCCCAACTACAAATCGCAGGTGCGGTTGCAGCACACACTCGCACCTCCTGGGCGTGTGCAGCCCCTCGCTGCTCGGCGCTCTAAGTGGGATCAACAAAAGCACCAATTCGGAAGCATTCGACCACCGCCACAGCAGTCACGCTCCCCATTTCTCACAAAGACAAAGGCTTGCAGTGGCGCAGCGGACGGCGGCACGCACAGTCGCAGGGTAATGGACTGCCGCGGGAATCATGCAACGGCGATGCGCCCCTCCTTTGGGCCTCCCAACAAAAAACATGTGTCGCGCAGTCCCCGTGAGCAACACACATTGAACCGTATTCAGCTCCACTACTGTGGCCATCCGCACTCACAGCATGAGTGCGACAACGCAGGCAAGGAAACACGGAATAACACCACGCATCCCTCCAATAAAGGTCAGGCGGCGTCCGTGCTGCCTTCAACAATAATTCCACCCCACATCACCCTTCTGCATATCCGCAGCAAAAAGGCCCACACGGTGTACACTACATTGCAATTTCCTAAAGAGCAAACCGGATCATCAGAGTGCTGCCGTATTCTCAATGTTGGGTAGAGGCTCCCTGATCCTTGTCGCCGCCAGCCTGCGGCATCATGGAGTGGCATTGCGTTCTCGGCATATCTCTCCATTTACTTCACTTTCCCGACGCCGCAAATGAAGTGACGTCCCACAAGTGATTTCGACCGTTCCGAAGAACGTGACGTATCAGACGCGCTGAAACCGTGCGCGTGTGTGTTATTACGGGCGAGCGACATAGTGCTCTCGCACATCCATGTATTCCGATCCTGCGCAACACACCATTCAGTGGTGCTGAAAGCGTTGGACACCGAACACGCACAAATAGCACAATGAATGCCTCTGGAGAACAAACTCCCCATTAACGTCGCCGTAGGCACCGTGACAATAAAGTAACAAAAGAAATCCAACCTCTGCGCGTCCTCCCGCAAGAAGGTGAAGACACACACGCTTGTCCCCTTGGCCTCACTCCAGCTCTTCAAAAGTTGATGGGTCCGTGGCAGGAGGAATCACGCTACTCCTCCCTCGCTCCCTGCCACGAGGCATGGCACTGCGCATATCCAGTGCATCTGCATCACCCACATACGTCCCTTTGGGGCCATCGCCTCGAGAGTCACCAAGCACGCGCCGCTAGAAAGTGTACCCCCAGTCTATGCTGCTTCTCCTGAGCAACCTTGCTGCCTTGCCGCACAAACAAGTCCACAATTTACGCATTATGACTGCAGACACGTGCCAGTGGAGATTCCTGCCCTTTCCCTCAGCCTTGCAAAGGGCGTACGCCATGCAAATGCCGGTCATAGGGCAGACACACACAGGCGCCGATACCGTGACAGTGCGTGAGATACTCGCCGCAGAATGAGGTGCCGCAGGTCTCCGCTCACTGATCCAGATTGACCACGCTGAAGCCCACAATTCCCGTCGGTTCGGCATCCCGATGGGTCGTCGTGGCTCGTTGACTCCCATGGTGGAGGAGTCCCAAGCAAGCAAAAATCAAAAGCCTGGACACTCTGTGGAGCCAAAAAGATAGAAAACACGGACTGGCGCGGGCACAGCTAAGCGCCATGGGAGAATCATCTCAGCTCATCCCATGGAAAACACCTCACCAACGTCATTGCAACATTGGCCTCTTGCTTCGTGGGTGTGTCACTTCTCTCTTCACTCTGTGCCAGCCTCCATCCAATTCCCCGTCCAGCAGTACTACGCGTCACACTGCGCTGCCTCCGCACAATCACGCCTCGCGGCCAATCATCGTGACGCGCCTCCAACTGCAGTCGCATCCAACCTCGAAAGCCCTCACACCCTCTTCCGCCCTCCTGTGTGTCGAGAGAAGACGCCTCTCTCGCGGTCTTCGCGTCCTCCCCAATAAAGCTCTGCAGTTGTGCCCAAACATCACCGGGTCTCTTGCCAAGAAGGAAACTGTGTGCGACGTGACCAATGTGAGCATACACAAATTTAGAAAACGGTTTATAGGCTCTCTGGAGTGCCCTGCGTGCACCCGCATGTACGATGGGAACACACACGGTGCGAGTCGGGCGAGATCGCCGGTCCACCTCGCATCTCCGCCAGGTGATTCATTGACGGCTCCACCCCGCTTCACGACAGGTCGAATAACAGTGCACACGTAAGTGGCTGTGCTCTGCATTCACATGTGGCTCCCCTTTTGGGTCCAACGTCGTCAGGCGATGGAAAGAGACGAGTCGCATTATCATTCTTCCATTTGCTGCTGCTTCCGCCTCATTTCCCGCAAGGAGCCACTGATCCCTCTCTCTTTGGCGATAAAGGGTCCTCACGCATGGGATGCATCCTGCCTCGTGTGGCATGAGGAACAGCAGAGAGTCCCCAACGTTGCCAATGCGGGATTGGCCGTCCAGTGCGGTGAATACAACACGCTGGATCCGCCGGAGGATCGTCGTGCACACTTCACTCCGCCCGTGGCGGATACAATCCTCGGGCAGTCACGCCTGTGCAGAACAGAACACCCTTTTGGAGAACGCCGAGCAGCTCCACCGACGTGTCGGAAAAACTCACAGAAAGAGGGCCGGTCAACCTGCGACACATTACCGTGCAACTTTAATATCCTGACATCGAGAAGAGCGTTTCTACCTGAGAGTGTTCGGCCCCATCATTATCATCATCACTGCTCAAATCATCTCAACAGGCAACAATGGCATCGTTCTCGTATTGCTCATGCCCGTTGGCCTCCTCCACCCGCCGCCTCACGTCCGTATGAATAAAGTCTCGTCATGCACAGCGATGCGCCCCCTCTTTTCAGATAAATACCAATATTTTATACTCACCAAGGTAGCAGATCAGTTCCCCCTCCACAGGCACACCTCATAGAGGACGTCCTTCTGTTCCCTTTGCCGAACCAACGCACCGCACCCAGTGGATAAGCCCTGGTAGTTTCACCAAAAAACAAGTGTTCAATTCCCACAGTAGCGAATACTCTGTGTGATATGGAACGCACAGTTTATTGTGCTAGTGCACCGCACCGCCGGTCGCCTCGCAATGGTGCAAAGATGTCATTGCCCCTGCCTGAGTGAGGTCAAGGCCCCACATTACACGTGCACACAGAGAAGCACACGGCGCATTTGAAAATATATTAATATTTTTTCACGGCACATCTATGGGAAGGAGCACCACCCCCGTATGCATGTTGGCAAAGCAATGGCCCCACAACGGCGGTGCTAAAAAAACGCACCCAGAAACAAAGGAAAAAAGAAGAGGGGTGTGGACACCCACAAAAAATGATGGATAGCCCATTTAAAAGCGGCAGCAGAGAAAAGGAAAAAAGAAGCAGCAGCAGCAGTAGTGGTGGTGACCATCATTGCCCTTTTTCTTCACTCGCTAATAGCCCAAACACGTGGGGTTCAAAAGTCCTCTTCACACAAAATTGTGCGGCAGTTAGCCTCTCTCCAACCAGCCGCCTCAATACATCCAAGAGAGCACACAAGAAAACCACAAATACCCATGGGGGAAAAAAGGAGAGAAAAACAATAAAAGATCCCACGACATTAGTACGGAGGCGGAGCGACACGCTTTTCGCACAAGTAGTCGTAAAGTCGGCCAGAGCGGAACAGATCCAGGCCCGAGCAAACTCGGACGCCACAGGCGGTTATTGTGCTCCTTTGAGACTTTTCAGCCGGCTCCTGTTCCACCCGAAGGAAGAGGGCTGGCGGAATGTGATCCTCGCCGCAAAGAGCTGCTGCATCGGGGGCCAAAGAAACAAATCCTCGCATATTGCGGATGTCAATTGGACCACACCACCGCATTTCCACGTCATTATCGCTTGGCTGCGCACTTGCGTCTCTTCACGTACCCCGTCGTTCCTCAAGAAGCCCTTCCGCAGGACTCCTCAAATGCAGTGGACGCTTGAGAGCAACAGGCCAAGCCTCGCAAT